GGAACTAATGGCTGTTTTTGATGTTTGAATATGGTTGATACCATAGGGTCATAGAAGATCGTCCATAAGAGAGGAGAAAGTGTTTCCCCTTGATCCAGACCTTTTGATACGGCGAATTCACTTGTTCTGCCAAAATTTGTTGCAATAGCTAGCTCACGATGATACAAAATAATTTTATTACTTTTTTATTACTGATTTTTTTATAAAGTTTTTAAAATTCTAAAATTTAAAAAAAATTTTTTAAAAAAATTTTATATTAATAGTTATTAAGAAAACTTATTCTTTATATCTTCAAATACAATATATATAAACAATTGTTTATTTGATTTTCTTTAAATAATTATTGGAATATAATTAATTAAAATAAAAAATTATTTTTGTTCAAAAATTTTTGATTAACATTGTATATTTTTTAAAATTTTTTACACGAAAAATAAATAAATAAATAAATAAATAAAATAGAAGAATAAAATTTTATTAACGAGATAATTTCATTTAGTGATACAGTGTATGATTTTTTTGATATTCGTAGATAAAATACAAATGCAAAATTAATTTTAGAATCACTATTAACTAATAATTATCCGTTTTAACTTGCATCTAGCGTTATCGATACATTGTATAAATACTGTATAAATCAGTACAGTACATACATCACTTGAATAATGATAAATGCGTTCTTAATGGGGATTTGCGATAGAGGCTTCATAAAATAATGATTTGTCTTAAAGCTCGGTCGACCTCGGTCCTGAAGATAAAGTTTGTACGGAAAAATCATTAGGCTTCTTTGCCTTAACATATATAATGTGCGTTTGAGATTAGTTGATAAAAATATCAATTAATGAATAGATGAGTGCGTTTGATACTTTAGATACTTTAGAAATAACGTTCACGAATCAAACGCTTTTGCACGAATTTTGATGATTTTTCAACTTGGTATTTGGGACATACCTAAAGTGAAATAATCACTTTGAACAAACACGAATATATTTTCAAGATACAATGTTTTGAATATTTTTTAATGAGTTTATCAATTTTCGGATGGCAATTCCAATAAGAAAATGTTATACGGTCAAAGTGAAAACAACGAATAATTCATGTACAGTAAATGAAATATAAAGGTTGAATGGGAGATTTTCCATGCAGAGTTAGATTTATGAATAATATACGTATGTCTATAAAATGTGTCAATGACGGGATTGAGTTGAAGCAATGAAATTGAAGATAATATAAAAGATAAAACGCCAATTTTCTTGATAAATATTTGTGAGTAAATATCAAAAAAATTTTCTGTCCAAAAATTGCCACCACGAGTCATTATAAAGAAAGTATAATACACGTTACAAGAACCAACAAATCATTTTCTGTGATTCTTATCGAATGACACCATTAAAACTTGAACAGACCTGAAATGTGATAGATGATTTTTATCGGTGGTTAGATACAATAATGATCAAATCGACTTTTCTTGACTCAAATTAAACCTCTGAATGAAACACGAGTCTACCAATCATTCCTTGGTATAGAATACACGTACCTAACTTCGCCATTATTATATTTTTAGTATTAGAAATTTACATAATCACGCAGCAACATCCAGGCGCGTTCTCTGCATCCTTCTCCGATAACTCTTTCGATGACGATTTGCCAGTACAAAGCACTGCACAAAAACCTCTCTTTCTTTTGATTGGCTCTTCTTGTGTAATAGGTGGCTTTTCTGTTGCAAAACCATCCCTATTATCGCCAGTTCTGTCGTCCGAACCATCTTCGTCGTCGGTCAATCCATCTGCCTTTCGCCGCTTTCTATCTGTAGCCATGTTGGCCGGTACGCTAACCACCTTTTTCTCATTGTTTTTCAATGTTATTGTAGCCGTAAATTTTACGGGTGGAACTTCCTGTCGAGAGCTGGTGGTGTAAGTCATAGTATACGCCGTGGGTGCAGGCTTAGCATCATTGGGCACCACCTTTGAACTCTTGGATTTTGGTAAGATGTCCACATGAATTATACTGTTAGCCTCGGTGTGGCAAAACAATGTTATCTCCCATTGATGACCACCATCGACCAGCTGAGAATGAGTTGATTTTAGGTACATTCTTGATATGCTATGTTCGGTGTATATACGAATAACTATTTTCTGAATAGGTCGCAATTAAACAATTAAACTTTTGTGAATGAGTTTTTGAGTTATCTACCGATCTACGGCAGAGGAGAGTCAAGGTTTGTGGAAGGTGCGAAGTTAATTTTCTCTTTTTTACACGTTCGTTGAAAAAAAAAAACAAAAAAAAAAAAGCTATTTTTTGTAAAGCCAGTAAGTTTTATAAATAAAATATGGGTGTGTGTAACACAGGAAAAGTAAAGAAATGATAACAGAAAAGTCCCTTTAATTGTAGGTTATTTAATTATTGTTTTGTTTGGACATTTATTCTTTTCACGATCAGAAAAAAACTTTCTCTTTAAACGTAGCGAGGTAAAGCAAAAATAGGTGAATGTTGATAAAAATGATGCCTGATGACTTGATGACCAAAAAACGGTGTATGGGTACACTACTTCAATAAACAATAATTGGTAATAAATGAAAGTTTCAGATCTCGGACATAACAAGTTTATTTTAAACTTATACAGTATTAGGAATTGTTCTTTTTTTTGAAGATCTGTGGCACCTTTTTTCGGGAACTTTGACGTTATTTGTGATAGTTTCCAAGAATTTTTGGGTTGTGCACATGTTATAATATAAATAAAGTGCACTATATACATGATCATTTACTACGCACATGTTCACGTAAGAGCATAATTGTCCATTCATGATTACTCGAATTTAATTCTCTGATGCGTTGTTCTCGCGTGGGTTTATCACCTAACGTTAATGGGTTTTGGTTAGTATTGTTAGCGTGACCATGCACACAGTACAGTACAATGTAACTAACTAACTAACGAACGATCCACGAACTGCGGTAAGTCCTTGTTTGTTACAGGATGACAAACCTGGATACATACCACCATGAACAATCCATTGTGAAATCAATTCAGATCAAACAAAATAAAATTCCCCTTTGATTGAGCGCGGCAAAAACTTATAATCTCTCAAACGTTATGCGTATGTCAGAGAAGATTCCTTTCTCTTTTGTAGGGACAACGAATTCGCTGCCGTTAGCGTGCGTGCTAATGTAAAAAAGAATGTAGTAGGTTATGGGAATTTCTTTATTCTCATATTGTTTGAGTTAATATGACGTTAGGCATTTCTTACCAATTCGAATTGAGCCAATCAAATGATCACATGACTTTACCCATTTTTATTAATTAAAAAATTATAATTATAAAGAATAATCAATTACTGTATATACGTCTATTTTTGTTCAATTAACTAATAAAATATATTTATTGCTAATTATTTATATTATTATTGCTGCTTTCTATCTTGACAATTGCCTTTTCAATTACTATTACACATAACAAAAAAAATTTTTTTGGTTAATATTAATTAGTAAGAATTACCGTAATAAGTATTACTTTCCGGGGGACTGGAAATCCATAGACAGACAACGTACTTTATAGAAAACTTTATATAAAAAAAATATTGATTGGATTACTGTGATAAGAAGGTTATGTTCATTTGTTAAGGCCTTCACCGAAAAACTAAAGAGGGAATCGTTTGGTCATGATCGTTTTCGACTTACGAGCAACTACTCATCGAATACCTTTATTCTACATATATCTTTGTTTGCTCGTGCGCAAAGCATTTCCACAATACAGTGGACGCGACATCGAAATCAAATATACGATATGTACAGTATATTGTATTAAGGTATATTATTCGTATACATCATTCCTTTTGCAATAATTTTAATAGTTGATTAAAGTTGTTTTGTAAATCTTTGATTTTCTCATCCATGTTTTTCTTCAGCTGTGCTACTTCACTTTCTTCCACCCCCTCCGTCGCGTGCTCCATTATTTCCTTTCTATCTCCAATCTTTTTCCCTTCACCTGGAAACACCCAAAAAGATTCATCCGAATCCTGCCTAGCATTCTTTTTATCAAGCTTAAACTCATATTCATCACAGATGTACTCGTCCTCATACTTTTTGTACAAGCATTCACTCTTGAACTTTCTACTTTCCAACCATTCATTGATACTCTTTGATGAGCCGGAAAACCAAACTATTTCAGGATCTTTTTCTAGAGGAAAGATATATATTTTGTCTAATATTTCATAATCCAATATTAGATCGGCACGAAATCGAAGAAGAGCGGAGTGACTATTTTCAGACGCTTTGGAATACACACCGCTGGTAAAAGAGAATAAAAGGAAATAAGTCGGAATAACGCATACACAAGTAAATGGTCATCACGATCTACATACCCCATCAATGCGATAAGCAGATTCTGCAACACCGTGACCAATAAGATACTGCCCAGTAATGATAATGCCTGAACCGCCCAAAATACCCAGGTAGCCTCTTGGGACCAATTGCCACCTAGCCATAGGTATGTATACTCCATGGATGTTAGAAAATCAGAATATGGATTATCGGTGTATAAATTTGGATCAAAATCGGATGTGATTTTTGCATCAATTGTGGTGTTCGTGGTAGTGTTCGTGATCGTAAAGGAACTGGTGTTTGGAATAAGATTTAGAAAAGTTGGGCGGGCTAGCAATATGTACCTAAAGAAATGATTTTTGGAATGATGCTTCGTTTAAATAGCCTTTAACAAAAATTTAATTTAATTTGTTAGGGTCTTACATTGCATGTGCAAATCCAATGACCACAAGGACCAGGAACGCCAGAAACGGCCACACCTCTTTTAGAATGCTAAAAACCATATAGATGTAAATCGCGATGGCTAATAAGAAATTGGTAGAATTAGTCAATGAATGAATGAATGAATGAATGAATGAATGAATGAATGAATGAATGAATGAATGAATGAAAGTAAGTTTTTTTCGCAAGGAATATGGAAATAGCATACCCGAGTAAGAACGCAAATAAAGAATCTACATCATATGTCAAGATAGTGAGTTCACTGATCGATCGATCGATCGAACCAAAGATAAATGATAAAAATTTAACGTTTCGTTCAACTTACAAATTCCGCCCAAAGGGTTAGAACCGAGAATGATATTGATATCACGAGATCTCTTTTTGAAGTGACACTTCCGAAGGCATCCTCAAACTGAAAAGAAGTAGAAACCATAATTGACATCACCACGACTGGCGCCACCAGGGAAATCAAATCGAAAAAATTAAAGATGTTGAAGTATTTTCTAATCCCATGTAATAAAAATTGTTGCACTTCAACAACAAATAGATAATAGGCCAAGTAGTAAAATAACGCAATGACAAAGACCATCAAATTCCTGTAGACGCCCGTGGCCGAGACGTGAGTGATGTACGCCCAGGAAACGATACCAAAGCAAGCTGCGTATACCAAGAATATAAAAAATAAGCTTTGAAAGTAGTTTCTCGCTTCTTGCCATTTGTAATTGATCACAGCTTCCATGGCTGGGTTATCAAGAATGGTGGTATCCAGGCTGACATGCTTCAGCGTTTTGATCAACGGACTCATGCACTCACTGGATTTTCCGTAACCTTGAGGAATAATTATTGATCTCAGAATTTGTCCCAATGTTTTTTTCCCAGTGATTGTCTCGTTGTTTTCTGACTGATCACCATATTCTTGTATGAATTTGGGCAAAGGGACTAATCGTAACGAAATATCGGAACTCACATTATCTCGAGTCCAGTCTTGGAAAAGATTTCCAAACATATCTATAAAGTTCTTGGTAACCCATCTCCATAGATTCACCAGATGTATCAAAAATCTGATTATGATCGAAGATTTGGTATAATGATGGCGTAGATAATAAGGTCGCAAAGCTTTTATACTTTTGGATTTACCACATCCTATTAAATATTCTTGACTCAGGAGTCCCCAGGTTTTCGAATTCACATTAATTTCTTGACCCGCAAAACAATCCTTATAAAATAAGGTCTCCGCATAATAGTCTAAACGTACCAAAATTGGTGAGCGCACGTAAAATACGGTAAACGCATAAAATAGCATACTGTTAATCATGCATAACTTACCCAATCTTTTATCATATAACTTGGGAACACATCTTGATACTGTGATCATCCATCCCACATGGTATTTTGCACGGTCGGTGTAATACTCTAAAAGATATCCGATTATTATGGTTTCCTTCCGAGAGATTCCTGATGCATTCATTGATTATGCGTGCGTTGATATAATTACCACTATTATTATTATTATTATTAACATGGCATGGTTTGGATTTTACGTGGATGAGTGTCACTCACCGTCATAATTTTGAATGGCCCACTCGAGAGCATTGCTTGGGCAACCAATATCGAAATGATGGAAATGCCTCGAATTTCCTTTCTTTTTCCATTTGGTTAGTCTCGGTATATGCAAGTTTCGTCTTATGTTTGATTCCCCTTTTTCAATATCTACTTTATTTCCAAATAAAATATACTTGACCAAGAATAACGACCTTCCACGAATAAGCCAATCCATAACATTATATCGAATATCCATCATTCTCCAAACTTCGGGATATTCTTCGATGAATCTCCAGATTATAAAAGTGATGCTTTCGATCAATCTTTCGAATTTTTGATATCTCTTCAATCCCTTAATCCTTTTCTTTCGAGAATAAAGGTGACCCAAGGCCTTGCATGCGTGCTTTACGGCCTTAACGTGTCTGTTCTTGCAGGGCCACCGGATGACCTTTGTTTTCTCCACGGCACTTCCTTTTTTCCAATAAACCTCCAAGAAGAAACTTTTATCGCCCACTTTTAATTTGCGAATATTCAATGATTTATCGACCTCCTCTTCGGGATCAACCTCACTCGTCCAAATATACTCTAGCGTTGGCTTTTTCTTTCCGAGACTACGCCTCCACACTTGTACCGTACTTCGTCCAATGAAAAGTTGCAGGTTTTCTTTGTCATCGATGAAGCACGATGTCTGTAAATAATTTTTATCTTGTCCCCATGGCTCCCCATCTTTGACAACGTGTTTAAACTGCTCACTATTGTCAACATCAAGTTTAATATATTCAGATCCTCGTTTTTGAATGATGAAGTGACCTCTTGTCACTCCATGCTTTCCCCCTTCCTTTTCGCCACCAGCGAAATTGTATTTCTCCTCTTCAATGAGGTTGTCTACATAATTCGGCGATAACCTTTTGCCCTTGATAAACTCGGCTATGACCTTTAGATCAAATACCGAATAGATTTTCCCTCCTTTTTCTTCATAAACTATTTCCTCCTTTTCGCCGGCATCTTCTTCTTCCTCATAATCACCTTCGTCACCTTCATCTTCACCATCATGTCCATGAGCACTTGGATCAAAATCCTCATCTTCGTCTTCGTCCTCTCCTCTTTCATCTCCTTCGTCACAGTCTATCGCAAAGATTTTTCCGGGCCTCCGCATTTGGCTGGTGACCTTCATTTCTTTGATTTCGTTTCCCTTGAAAGATCGAATGACATTGTTGTTTGAAAAAAAATTCCAAACCTTGATGTCTCGTTTCCTTAAAGATTTTCCGCGATCTTCTACAATATATTCTTCAACCATGATAAATAATTTTTCGTCATTTTCCACAAATTCAAGTAACCGGATTTTTTGTTCGTTCTCTCCCCCCAACATTAGGTACCCAACCTCCAAACCATTCTCCATCCAATATATTCTAATTTCTCCGGTACCATACGAGAATGCAAACAATTGCCTATTACTAGATATTGCATAATGGACGTTCGGTTGATTTGGGGGCTCCCTCATGTTTCGTTCTAGTATACCAAAGTATTGTATTGGCTCGAGGGTGGATAAATCGTACAATCCAATCATTCGAGCTCCACTGTTGATTTGTGTCAGCAGGAAGTAGCGATGGTAGATACATGCGTGTAACCTGGTCATGCATGATTCAGGTGTTTCGGCTTCTAAAGCTTCCGGAAAGTTAACATGACTGACAAATGGTCTGTTTATTCCGGTATTCAGTTCTCTCAGGCTTATTTTTTTTATTCCATTGGCGTTAATAACCGAGACATGGACATTTGTATAAGGAGGATAATCACTCTCGTGAACAATAGTAACGATTCCACCAATCCTAAAACAATAACAATTCCTTCCTCTAATCTCCACAGGATCCGACACGGGAATTGCGAAATGTGATTTATCATTTCCAGGTCCACTCCCACATTCCACACGACAGATAACTGTGCGACCGCTAGTCACATCGTCATCTCTTGGATTCGTTGCCTCGACGTTCCAATGTAAAATTTCGTATAATTTTCTCACCGGCGAAGACTTTAAATTACTCCTGGTCATATCTCTTCTGACAACTCGTGATATTGCGACGTATATTACATCAAGTTTCTGGTGTTTAACGAGGTTTGAAATGGCAATCGAATATTTGGGAAAATCATCATCATCATCATCATCATCATCATCATCATCACCTTTTTCCCGAAGGAATCCGAATAACTTGTCCGCTAGATATAGGTTGGTGTTTTCATAATTCTTTATGTCCCTTATCTCTCCAAGATGGAATTCCAATTTCCCTATTAATTTACATACAAGCATATTCGTGTGAGAAAGTGGGTTCACACGTTAAGATTAAGCGCATTCATTCATCATCCATTCACTCATTACTTACTGGTATCTAGTACCGCGAAGAATTTGCCATCAGGACTGATGGCTACAAGTTGTGCCTTGGGCATCTTACACGTACTGGACACTTCCTCAATCTTATCCTCTTGGTACGTGCCGTTAAAGACCTCCATCGTAAGTTCACGACTGTTGCATCACCTAGTGAAGAGGAAAGAAAATTTCACCGAGAGATAAAAAAGATGTTGAGCTGTGAATTCATGCTATTATATTTGCATGCATCCTAAAATGGAATGACGCACGAACTTGTACTGTTAAACAAGGACGCAACAATGAAAAAAAAGCGATTGATCAATTATTTTGTCAGCTCGGAATGCACGTACGTACCACATACGTACCGCATAATGATGAATGCGCAATCGAAAATCAATTTCTTTAGCTGATTGGCTTATAAAATGTGCGGATTATATGATAAAAAATTATTTTAAAAAGTGTTAACTAAAAATGTCTAACAAATAATTTGACGAGCTTTCTTATATTTTAAGACATACAGCATGGAAAACCTGAAAGTGAAATTTATTAATTATTAACAAAAACAATAACATCTATAATAATTATATAATAATTATATCGTTTAACAAATATTTTTGTTCAAAATCCTATATTCTGTAAAATTCACGTGGCGTATGAAATATTTATAATAGTAACAAAAATAAATATCCTGCCAAATTGTACAATCGCTGCGATTAAACGGGAGCATTAAAATCAGAAGCGGACACCATCTAAAGAGGAAACGAATTTTCGTTAATACCCTTGGAAAGAATTATCACGTGTCCCAGTCTCGAACGATAAGGCTAAGAAGGTACTTGCTAATGAAATCGTTAGTCAGGGATCCTATGATGCGGATGACGAAAATGTTTCGTGCAATAGAGGTCCGTTTGAGAAAGGGAAGATGTGTAAAGATGAGAAGGAATGACTTATATCCTTTGAGGAAGATA